CCCTTCCCGTCGTCTGCGGCTCTGACCTTCTGCACCGGTGAAGCAGTACCTGGGTCGGCGAGCTTCCGTCTTCGACGATCGGCAGCGTCGAACGGTGGTAAGCTTCTCTTTTTGCTGCTTTCTCTCGGTTTCATTAGCTGCGGCAGGTGGCGGACTTCACAGTGGTCGGTTGTGTTCGGCTGTGTTCTCGGCTGTGTTCGGCTGCTTCGTCGGCAGTGTTCTCCTCGTCTCTCTGAGGCGATTCTGGCCTCTTTTGGGGATTGGACTGATTAGATGGCTTTTGGCTGGGTCATTTGGACGATGCCTAGCATTGTAGGATTCCGGCCCTGTCCTCTTCGTTTTCGGCTGCCGGGCCGGTTTGGTTGAGGCTACCCAGGACTGCGTTGGTAGTATTGTGGTGGAGTCGGTTCGGCTGGGGGTCGGTTGCTTCCTACATTTGTGTGGAGTGCGGGCTAAGCACTTGGTTAGTTGTTGGATGGCCAAGCATTTGCCTTGCTAGGCCTTATGCAGTGGTGGGTGAAAGTTTGGTTCTCTGAGGCTGGCCTCGGTTTTAGTCTGTTCGGCTGACATTTGGATTCGACTGTTGTGGGGGTCGTATTAGTTAGTAGTTAGTTGTTTAGTTTGTGTTGTGTTGTGCGTGTTTTGTGTCTCTTGTTTATTTTGTGTTTTGTGTTTTTGGTCTGGGCTGTTGGCCCCTGTTAACTTAGGTGTTACCTTATTCTCCTGTTGGGAGCAAACACCTAGGCATTCTCCTGTTGGGAGCCTTTAGTTTTTAGTTTTGTGTTTGTGTTGTAGTTGTGTTTTTCTCCTGTTGGGAGTTAGTTCTTTTTGTTCGTTGTTTGCGTGAGGTTTTATTCTGGCGTTGCCAGCGATTCTAGGCGGACTTCGGTCTAGCCTCCAAGTTTGTAATTCCGCACTTTTTGTGCGCCTTTTATATAGTACTTCTATCGTTTTGGGAAAAAAAAAACATGTGTATGTATTTTGTAAACAATTATACTCAAAATTTTATTTTGAATTTCATTACATGAAGAAGACTACTTCTATAACTTTTATAAATAATAATAATGACATTATATGACTATAAATTTTATAATAAAATAATAATTGAGTATTATAAGGTGAACAAGAATAAATAAATTTTTTTTTTCTTATATCAATGAATAAATATGTATTCTAAAATCAAATAAATATTAGTATGACGTGTTAGCGGAATTATATATTAATTAACATGTTAATTTTTGGCTTAAATAAACACCACTTATTAAAAGATGTGAAATATGGATGATCCAAGCCTATTGTTTTTTTGTCTAGACGTACAAGTCCTATAGAAATAATTGATTTATTATATGTATCACGTGCATCGCACGGGGTATGCACTAGTATAAATTATATACACACACAAACAAAAAAATGGTATTATGAAATGAATAAAAAAATGAATAATAATGTTGCTTATATAACAAAATACAAAAATTTCGAATTTCGACATTATTAAAATTGTACTCGATGAGCAAGTCACAATATTTTGAGCAGTATTTCAATTACGGTTGGCATTCAAATATTTCAAATTCACATCCAAACAAGCAA